TGCTTGTCCCGCCACACTGCTGCCCGTTTTCCCCTTCCACACCCCGACCCTACCACACCACAGCCCCCAAACCTCTCCTCCGACCCTCTCCCCAGCGATCCCCCCTCCTATCCCTCCATCCCTCCCCCAAAACACACACACACACACGCACACACACACACACACACACAGCCCCCACCTTGTTCCTCTCTTGCATCTCCCACTTGTCCAGGGTCTTCATGGCGAACTTCATGTCAGTGCCCTGCATCTGCACCAGGTCCACCAGCCCCACGTCGCCCGCCCCCAGCTGCTTCACGCGGCGGAAGTGCGCCAGCTTCAGCTTGCCGTCGCGCTCCTGGGGGCGGGTTAATTTGGGGTGGGTGGGGGCGGTCATGGGGAGGTGGGTGCAATTGCGGGGCCAGTGGGGGCGGGTCACCTGGGTATTTGCGGTGGAGGGGGCTTGGCTGCGCGCGTGCTGGGGCACTGGAGCGAGGATGCGGCCGGCTGCGCGCGGTGGCCCTGGCGCGGCTGCCTGCATCCCCAGGGCCAGGGGCAGCGCTGCACAAGCACAGCCGCTCTCACAATCCCCTCACCGATGAAGCGCGTCGGCACACAATCGTCCCAAAACGCATGTGCACATACACAAACACACACACACACACATAAACACGCGCACACGTACACACACACACACGTGTACACACCTGCGCGTTAAGCAGCTCCTGGTAAGCCCTGTCCGCCGCCTTGTGGGGCTTGCGCCGCATCACCGTGCCCCCCAGCTTGGCCCACGGGTTGGGCGTCAGCCCCAGCCCCGCCAGCGCGCTGGTGATCATGCTGGCCGCGCCGTGGCCCTTGGCCTCCACCTCGGCCGACGGCACCTCGCTCCACGCCGGGAGCTTGTCGGCGCCGCTGGCCGCGGCGGCGGACGCGGAGACGTCCACCTGGAGGTGAGGGGGCGGGTTGGCGGTTCGCGGTCGGTCGGAAGCTCGTGGCTTGGGGTGACCGGCGGAATCTTCAGCTTGGGTGCAGCGCGAAAATTCGAGTTGGGGGTCGGCCAGTAGCAGGGCAGCGGGATGCAGAGCGCTGCCCGCGCGGCGCGAGAGGGGCCGCCCGCACCCTCCCCGGACGCATGCAGCGCCACCGCTCCCGCCCGCGCCGCCCTTGATCACCCCCGTCCACCCCCCCGAAAAGCGGCCCCACCTGCACCCCGATGTAGAAGCGCACTGCGCCGTCGCTGTCCTTCATGGGGGCCAGGGTGAACATGTTCCAAAAGGGCGTGCCGCTGCGCTTGTAGTTCAGGAGGCGCACCTTTGGGGGGGAGGGAGAGGGGGGCAGGGCCACGATTTTGGCGGTCAGCAGGGGAGGGCGCTCAGGGCGCTCGGGAGGGACGCGCACCTGAGTGTGCGGCTTCCAAGGGGAGGTTGGCGCGGCGCGCAAGCGGTGCGCGGAGGGCAGCATTCCCAAGGGACCAAAGCGAACGCGCGGCTTGTGGCCGGCACAGTCGCAAGCGTGCACGCAGCCCGGCCAGTGCCGAGGCCTGCACAGCATCCCCCACCTGCCTGCCTCCCCACCCCTCTTTCTTCAACCCAAAAACCCGCTCACCGTGAGCTCGTCCCCGGCCTTGACTGCATCGCGGATCTTCTGAATCACCGCTTGGTCGGTGCCCGGGCCCTGAAGTGACGGGCGCGCGCACAAGAAACGTCGAGTTTCAGACGCGGCCGCCAGTCGCCGCCAGGCCAGCAAGCGGGTCCACACAAAGCACGAATCGTGAGCGCCGCGCCGCGCGGCTGCAAAGGCCCCCAACTGCATGCCGTGCGGCGGTTCGCAGGGCCGGCCGCGCCGTGCAGCTTCGATCTGCGTGCCCGCAATCTGCAAGGGCGTGGCGGTTGTCGGTTGTCTGTTGTCGGCCCCGCACCTGCAGGAAGCGGCAGTTGCGGCCCAACACCTCCTCTCGGGGGTACTCCGTCAGGTCCAGGAACGCGTCAGACGCGTACACTGGCGGTTGTGGGCGGTTGCGGTCGGTTGCGGTCGGTTGAGCAGCGGTTGGATGCGGGTCGGAGGAGGGGCCCGGGGCTGGCTGCTGTTGGGCGATGGATGGCCCTGGTGCGCCACAGGGGACTGACGTAAGCTCTTATTTACTCCGCGCAAGACGACACACCGGAGTGGCGGCGGGAAGGGGCGCGCCGGCGCGAGCTGGCTCGCAGTGCGCAAGGACGGCGCCCCTCGCGGCGCTCACCAATGGGGCAGTCCGGCAGGGAGGGGTCCGCGATGCAGAAGTTCTGCTGGATGCGCTCGACTGTGGTGGCCAGGTCCAGCGCCACGCGGGGGAACGACTTGGGGCCGGCCTGGGGGGAGGGGTACGGGCACAGACCGGGGCGCAGCGGTGCGTGGGTGCGGAAGTATGGCTGGGGGGAGCTTCGGGAAGGACTGGCCTTCTCGAGGAGTCCCGGCTGCGGAGAGCCGTGAGGCATGGACTGCGCGCGCCTGTCCGCCTGCGCGCCGCGCCGGCGGGCGCGGGCGCCATCGTGCGCCGCTGCTGGCGCGGGCCGCGGCCACTGCTTGCTGCTCACCTTCGCAATGCCAGTGGGGATGGTCCCGGGCTCAGGCGCAGTCCCGGTCTCCAGGTTCTGCAGAAACAGATCCGATCACGTCCAGAGGAGCCGTGTTGGAGACGCGTGTGGGCTCAACACGCCACCGCCACCCACCCGCGACGCCCCGGAGGGGGGCCTGGCCACAGCCTAGCCGGCGCCGCCACCGGCAGCGCACCTGCCGCGGGACCCCCGTTCACGCACGCAACCCCCACCCTCAACCTCGGCCCCTGGGCAAGCGGGGCGCCGCAGCAGCAGCCCGCCGGCGTCCGCGCCGCGGGCGACCCCAAAGCGCAGGGCGCGGGCGGCGCACCTGCACTGTGTTTGTGACCTCCTGCACGATGTTAAAGGCCACATTGTCGCGCAGCCGCGCGTCCTGGTGCAGCAGCGACTGGCTGGCGGCCACCTTGCCCTCGGTCTTGGACGTCACGTCCACCTTTTGGGGCGGGGCGGGTGTGAGGGCCGCGGCGGCGCGCCTGAGGAGTGGGAAACGCGGGGAAGCCGGCCGCTGCGGCGCCGACGGCGCCGCCGCGCGTGCCCTACAGGGCGATCCGCACCCCGGCGCACTCCGCCCAGCGCCAGCCGCCCGCCCTCCTGGACGGCCGCCAATTTTCCCGCTTTCTTTGGACAGCACAACCACGCCCCTCCCCTCCGCCACACCTGAACGCCGACGATCTTTGACACCTTGCCGTCGGGCGTCTTGATGGGCGTCATCGTGAGCAGGTTCCTGTTTCGGTGGACGCAGCCACGGCGCGGCGTGCGGCGCGGTCGGGGCCGGCGCGAGGGGCGCTTGGCCGCGCGTGCGAATGGCATATGCATAACAGCCCGTAGCACTGCAGCGTGCCGCCGAGGTCGAGTGCCAAGCAGCGCCCGTCCCTTCCTCTGCTACACAAACTCTCAGCCTTTCTAAGGCCAAACGAGCAAGCTGCCGCCAACATCCCAAAACAATAGCCAACCGCCCTGATGATTGCGGGGGCCCACCAGAAGGGCGTGCCGTCCTTCCGGTAGTTGAGCAGCCGCACGCTGACCGGGCTACCCGTGCGGATGGCGTCGCGCAGCTTCGCCACGTCAGCGGGGTCGGTGCCCTCGCCCTGCAGGAAGCGGCTGCGGACATGGCACGGGCGAGTGCGGGGGGGCGCGCGCTTGCGGCGGCGGTTGCGGCACCGGCGGCAGCGGTAGGCGGGGCGGCGGGCGCGCTGCAGCGCTGCGAAGTTGCGTGCCGTACGCGGCAGCCAGGGCAGCGCGGCGTCCGCAGGTCGGTCCACCCTCTGGCCCAGCCGCGGCCGCCGCCTCGACCCGCAAGGCGAAAGCGGCCCACCGCCTCGCCGCCAGGGCCAGGCACCGCCGCGTGGCCTCACCAGTTGTGCCCCAGGACCTCGTCCGGGCCGTATCCAGTCATCTGGTAGAACCTGCGGGGCGCAAACACGAGCCGCGTCAGCCCGCTGCTGTCCCGCTTCCGCCTGCCACACACATAACGGAACCGCGGCAAGCGCCGCGGCCTAGGGCCGCGGGCCCACGCCGTGGTGCTGGGGAGTCACGGAGCGTGCCTGTGCAGCCGCGCCCGGCAGTGCCGCTGCTCGGCGGCGAGGATCTGCGTGCTGCCTTTTGCTCGGGCGGGCCGGGGCAGTGCCAGTGGCCCTTTGCGCAGGGGCCACCCGCCACGGTCCCACCCCTGCCGTGACGGGGCCGCGCGCAGCAGCGCGCGGCCCCCGCCCTGTCGCCGGCCGCCCGCACTACTCACGATTCGCTCGCATACACCAGGGGACAGTCCGGGAGCGTGGCGTCCTGCAGGGGGGACGGGAGGCGGCGGCGGCGGCGAGCGCAGTGGCGAGATCAGCGCCGTCGAGCTGGGTTCTGAGCGCCGCAGCCACCGCGAACCAGTGGAACCACAGTCCTCGGGAGTCCGCCACCGACGCCAAGGCCTTCCCTGTGCGCCGCGCAGCTGCGCAGCTGCCACCCTGCCTGCAAGCCGCTGGCCGCTGCGGCCCACGGGCGCTAGGGAGGCGCACCGCGACGACGAACGTGTGCCTGAGCCGCGACAGCACTTTCGTCAGCTCGGCCGCCGCGGCCGGCAGGTTCTGCGCGTGATGAGCGTGAAGGGGGCGGGAGTGATGTGCGCGTAACACGCCGGCCGGCACTGGCAGCCCCATCAGCCCGGGCAGGGCACGCCGCCTGCTCGTGCGCCAGGCGTGCGAGCTTCCCAGAGGCAGCCGTTACATATGCACGTGCGGCAAGCGCTTGACGCAGCAGCCAATAACGACTGGCGTATGCTACCGCATCAACGGCACCGCGCATCGGGGGCCGCGGCAAGCCGCTGCGCCAGGCAAGCGTGTGGCGCTGGCATTTGCCCCTCGCCGCCTCCGCAGCCACGCCGCCCGTCGCCCTCGGTGTTGCTCAAGCTGGCCGCGGGAGATTCCACGATATGAAAATACATCACGCTCACCCCGCCGGTCGCCATTGCGCACGGGATCTGTCCGCTGCCTCTCTCGACACACTGCAATGCCCCGCAGCTTTGGGGGGGCGCCGCGCCCTAAGGCGCCCAGGGAAGATTTGTCAGGAGCCGACTAATTCGTGTCACGTCCGCGGGCAAGGCTCTGCTGGGAGCCAGTGCGAGGTCCAGATGGGGACCGCTTTGAGCAAGGTCCCGACAGCAACCTCGGCGTTACGGTTGAGTAAAACGTGTTCAGCACGAAACCACGACACGACGCTCAGGCCGGTCGGAGAAGCGCGAAATGATCTAGTCGTAAACCGCAAATGACTCGGACTAGTTCGAGCACCTCACCCCAGACCTATCGTGTGTGAAAATCCAAAGTCTCGGGCAATGTCGATCTACCCAGCCCTTCGACGACGATCGACGATGATCTTGGTGCCATCACGCTCCTTTTGCAGCAGTTTTTGAATGAGATGTTGGTCGATGGCTGCTTAGCCCTCTGAGCCCGGCGTGCAACAGGCTTAAAAGGGTGACATGCGCAGGACCGCACAGGCGGCGGTGCTGCACGCCCTAGCCGACGCACACGCCATGTTGGTGGCCGCCCTTGGCGCAAGAGCGGTGCGAAATGTGTCCACCAATGCGTATGCATGTATGTTGCAAACGGTCCCAGGTGGCTGCCACCAATACTGTAGGTCGCGCCCATCACAACGACCGGTGCCACCCTGCCGTGACGCAGGTGACGGGGGCAGCGTGGCCCTTGTTCGATGCACCCACTGCGTCGACGGCCACTGCCGGCCTGCAGCAGCAGCAGCAGCAGCACCAGCAGCAGCACCAGCAGCAGCAGCACCAGCACCAGCAGCGTTCCAACAAGGTTCAGGCGCTAGCCCTCGCATCCCAGCAACTGGATGGCGACCACTTGAAATGCCAGGCGCCCTCTTCAGCGGCGCGGCCGTGCCCGGAAGCGTCCAGTCTGACGGGGCCGGGTGAAAAAGCCGGCAGGCCGGACGCGGCCGCGGTCGCAGCCAGCGGCGCCCACGGCGGCGACCTAGGGGACGCCCTGCGCGTGCTGCAGCGCGCCGCTGAGCGGCCAGCGCCTCGCGCGGCTGCTGGCACGCGGTTTCGAGCCGCGGCGCACGCCCTAGCTGACGCCGCGCCGCGGCTGGCCACCGACCAGCTGGCTGCGGCTGCGATTGCGGCCGCGCGCCTGGCCCCCGCCGCGCCCAGCAGGGGCGGCGGTTCCGCGAGCGGCAGCGACGCCGCCTTGCAAAGCGCAGGCGCAGGCGACACCGCGGGAGCGTTGGAGGCGCTGCTGCGCGCGGCAGAGGCGCGGCTGCCGGAGCTCACCCCGCAGCAGCTCACGGCGCTGGCCGCGGCGTGGCCACCCGAGGCGCCTTCGCACAACGGCCGTGGCGGCGGCTGGGTGGCGCTGCTAGAGGCGGCGCTGCGGCGGCGGCAGGCACCCGGCGTCGCTTGGCAGCCGGACTCGGTCGCTGACGTGGCGCGTGCCCTGCTGCGCCACCGTGCACCAGCCGGCAGCAGCGCGTACCTGGCCCTTGCGATGCTGACCATCGAGGCCTCCTCACGGCGCCGGCAAGAGCAGCAGCAGCAGCAGCAGCAGCAGCAGCAGCAGCAGCGAGGGCTGCCCGGCACGGGCGCTCATGGCACAGAAGCAGCAGCTTCGACGCCCCCTGTGTTTGCGCCTGAGCAGCTTGCAGGGGTGGCGCGGGCCTTTGCGGAGGCTGGGCACTACAACCAGGCGGTCTTCGATGTGCTCTGCAGTGAGGCGCTCGCACATTTGCGCGCCAGCGGCTGGCGGCTGGCGGCCGACGCACCCCTCTCCCCTTTGGGACGGCCCCGCGCCGCCTCCGGCGGCGGCGGCAGCTGCGGCTTCACTCCGGGCCAGCTCGCCGCGTTTCTGAGCAGCTGCGCGACGTCGCGGCACTTTGACGCGCGGCTGCTGCAGGGCGCGGCGGACGCGCTGTCGCGCTGCAGGGGGGACGTCGCCCTAGTGCACACGGCCCAGGTGCGGCGGGGCCAAGCAGCGACTGTTCTCATTGACAGCACACGCCAACGCGAACCGCCCGGCCCCTTTGTAGTTGCCATCGAACCCAAACTGCTGTGGTTGCTGCGTTCAAAACGTACACGACCGCGCGCGCACCCAAGTGCACATCGTCACCTACCCACATGCCTGATGCACACGCCATCGCGCACTTCAGACGAGCGCATGAGTGCGCTTGCGCACTCACAAACACCTTGTGTCGACAAGCACGCATGCATGATTGCGCACACGCGTGCACACACACACACACACGTGCACACAAGCATAAACTACACACACATACACATGTGCGCATGCACACGCGCATGCGCTCTCAACAACCGCATCGTCGTGCGCAGGTGGTCAACGCCCTGGCCACCCTGAACGTGATGGACGCGGCCCTCTCCGCGCGCGCCTCGGCGGCGGCACAGCAGTGGATGGCGGCCTCGATGGCCGAGGCGTCGCTGCATCGAGCGCCGCCGGGCCCTCAGCAGGGCAGAGAGCAGCAGCAGCAGCAGCAGCGCGAATCGGGCGCGGGCGCGGTGCTGGACATCGCGTGGGCCTTCGCCACGACGCACAACTGCGACGACGCCTTCTTCCAGCTACTCTGCAGGTGGCTGGCGTCGCCCGCCGCGCCGCGCTGCGGGCCGGACGCGCTGGCGCGGCTGTTCGACGTGCAGACCGCGCTAACCGACGCCGCCGCGGGCGGCTCCCACCCCGGGCTGCTGTCCGCGGCGCTCCCGCCCGGGCTCCTCGTCGCGGCGCGCGCCGAGTGGCTCGAGCGGCGCGCGCGCGGGGCCGCCGGCGGTGGGGACGGCAGCTTTGGGCGCGCGGCGGGGTTTCAAGGGGAGGTGTACTCGGCATTGCAGGGGCTGGGGCTTAAAGTGTCGCTTAACATCCCGACAGCCTGCGGCATGCACGTGCTCGACGCGATCGTCCGTGTCCCAAGCGCGGCCCGCAGCGGCGGCGGCGTCGGCGGCGGGAGCGGCGAGGGCGCCGGGCGCTCGTCGGCGTCGCGGTCGCTGGCGCTGTCGCTCGACGGGCCGGGGGCGTTTGCGGCCAACGCGCCGCGCAGTCCGCTGGGGGCGACGGCAGCGCGGTGGCGGGCGCTGCAGGCGCGAGGGCTGCGGGTGAGTTGGGCAAGGGCCGTGAGCAGCACACAGCTCAACTCGTGACTGGCCCCTAGAGCTCGGTTTGTTTTGTCCAACCACTTGCCGTGTTGTGGCATCCGTTTGCAGGTGGTCAGCGTGCGCTGGACGGACTGGGCGCGCTTGAAGGGCTCGGCCGCGCAGCAGCAGCATTTGTGGGACGCGCTGGCAGCCGCGCCGCAGGCGCCGGGGATCTTCGCGGCGTCAGACGCGGCCCCGGGGCGCAGCAGCGCCGGCGGCAGCAACAGCAGCGGCGGCGCCCCGGAGGGCGCGGCGCAGAGCGTGCGGCGGATGGCCAGCCAGTGGTGGCGGCTGTTGCTGGAGGGAGGCGGCGGCTGAGTGGGCGGGCTGCGTCCGCGTGTACAGTAAAACATGCTTGCGTGAGCATGGCTACGGTGGTGGGAGTGGGGGGGCCAAGGGGGTGGGTGAGCGCAGGGTGGGCGCACAGCATGTTCCCACCGGTGTCCCAGGGAGCAGCCAGGAATCGACACGCGGCCGTGGGGGGGCGGGATTAGATGCTCACTTAAGCCTCTGTGAGCTTGGGTACCATATGCGTTGGCGCGCTCACCAGCGATCAGCTTTGTCGAGGACACACACTTTTTGACGGTGATCTGGGTGAGTTTGCACGTCAATACAGTACGTGGGTGGTAATGTACTTCAAGTTTCAGCGAAATTATGCTCATCTCACTCATTACATATGTCTGCTGATCTCGCATCTTCGTCTTGACCGCTGACTGCGACGACCACGGCCTCCCGTGTCAGGCAGCCAGGATGCCTACCGACCTCTCCAGCAAAGTCAGGGCACGAATGGTGAGCGATTGTGTCACGCTGGAAGGCAAGCTGCGCTTTTGAAGGCACGCGCGCCGCATGGGCGGGCACCAGCAGCACTGGCCAGAGCCTGGGACGTCATGACCAGCGCCACCCGCGGACCTATCACTCTCGCGCTGCCACATATGCGCTGCATCTGCAGGAGACCCTCGGCCTGGGTCCTAGCGGCCCCGGAGGCGCTGGCGGGGAAGTGCGGTCTGCCGCCGCGGGGCGCCTTGTGGCCCCCAAGGGCCGTGTGGCGGTGGCGGCGGAGAGCTCGAGCGCGTGCGACAGCGCGGCGATTGGGAGCTATAAGAAGTCCCCAGAGGTCAAGAAGCTGATTGGTGGGCAGAGCCAGAGCACCGAGACTGCGAGCTCTGGGGTTGCTGGCTGCAGCCCGGCGGATTTTATGCCAGCAGGGGAGGCAGCCTTTATTGTGCAGTTGCGTGCGCAGCGGACGCCTCAGCCGGCAAGCGGAACAGGCCGGACTGGAGTGCGATGGCTCTCCACACCCAACCTCAAACCTTGAACCGCAGAGCGGGCCATATCGTGCAACCTGCTCTTTGAGGGGCTGCCCCAGGCGGCGCTTGACGTCATCATTGACTCCATGCAGCCGAGGGCCGTGGAGGCCAATAAGGACATTATCAAGCAGGTGACGGGCTGGTGGATGGTGGCGGCGTGTACGCGCGCGTGTGTGAGACGTCTGTGGTTACCGGTATAGCGTGCACGTGGATCAATGTCGCCTGATAATGTGTGTCACGGCGTGTGTGTGTGTGTGTGTGTGTGTGTGTGTGTCACGGCGTGTTTGTGTGTGTGTGTGTGTGTGTGCACGTCTGTGCGTGTGTGTGTGTGTGTGTTTGTGTGCGTCCCTGCGTGTGTGTGTGCCCTCCGTGCGCGCACGCGCGTGTGTGTGTGTGTGTTTGTGTGCGTCCCTGCGTGTGTGTGTGTGTGCCCTCCGTGCGCGCACGCGTGTGCGTGTGTGTGTGTGTGTGTGTGTGTGTGTGTGTGTCAAAATGCGCGCGCATGCACGCTGCCTTTGATGCATGATGCAAGGGTGGTTGGGTGTGGCCTGCTGGCCCCGCATATCCTGTCACGCCGCCCCCCTTCCTCCCTTGCGCTCCCGACGCCATCCGATTCCACCCAACTCCAATCATCTGCCCACAAAACCCCAGGGCGACGTCGGCGCCACAGAGTTTTATGTCCTCGAGACAGGCGCGGCGGAGGCCCTCCTGCTGCGCAGCGGCGACCCCAAGCCGCGCCGCGTCGCGGCCTACGGCCCCGGCGGCTCCTTCGGTGAGCTGGCGCTGCTCTACTCGGCGCCACGCGCCGCGACGGTCCGCACGACCGCGCCGTGCGCGCTGTGGGTGGCGGAGCGCGCGGCGGTCATGCGCATCAAGCGGCAGTTTGCGGAGCGGCAGGCGCAGGCCAAGCTGGAGCTGCTGGAGCGCGTGCCCATGTTTGGGTGCCTGACTGACCAGCACAAGCAGCTGCTGGCGGGTGCCATGGAGCAGGTGTGTGGGAGGGGGGACGTGGGTGTGTGTGGGT